TATCACCTTCAAACAGGTCATACATATTGACTTGCTTTTGTCTATTCCTCCTACTTTCCTGTCCCAATGGCTGAAATTTTGTTTACTTTGTTCACTGTTGGGTTTCCAGCGCCTAGAACTGTCCCTGGCACACAGCAGGTGCTTAATAAATGCTGAGTGAATAAAGAAGTGCATGTATGCATGAATGGTGGGGCACACAGTAGATGCCTAATAAATATCTGTTGAGTAAATGAATGTCTTGCCATCAGGGCTTCAGTCCCCAAGCCCCAGGGTGGGACCCAGGTAGGTAGGGAAATCTGGAGAATTTAGGGTCAAGTGGAATGTACTGCCTTGAGCCCCTTTCCTTGGGGGTCACTCCAAGGAGAAGAGTCCATTCCCCTCAGGACTCTTCAAGTGCACATTCTGCCCACTCAGGCCAGGCCCACTGAGTAAGTGATCTTGGATATGACGATAACCCCATCAAAGCCCCTGAGATAGAGACTTTTCTGACACTGTTGGCAAAGAGACCCTTGGCTATTTTCCTACTGATCTGAACATTGGCAGACCATCTGCTGATTCATGGAACGTGGGCAGGAGGGCAGAGCTTAGGGACATGAAGAGATGGGTCCTGACGCTACTATTTGAACCCCTGGATCCAGCCATACCTGAAGCTACCATCCTAAGCATTCCGTACAAGAATTAATCAATTCCTCTTTTTTGGGGTGGGAAGAGTGGTTTGGGTTTCTTGCATCCAAAAGAGGCTCTCCTCCATTCCTATGGATACCCACTCACCGAGGGCTGTGCCGTAGCCAGCAGTGGCCAGTGCACCGGTGTTACAGTGGGTCAGCACGGTCACCTTGCCGCCCTTGGGGGCTGCCCGTTCCAGGAGGTGGTGGGCTCCCAGGTCCCCAATGCTCCGATTGTCTCTGAGGTCTTTCTCCAGCATGTCCTCAGCGTAGCAGATCACTCTGGGTCCAACAAGGGTCTCTTAGCACCAGCCATCATGCCTCCGGCTAGCTCTTCTTTCCTGCCCAATTCTCTTGCTGAAAGCCTCTAACAGCTGTGAGGCCTGGACCCTTCTGTCATTGCCACCTGTCACTCCATTCGCTCATGCAACACAACTGAGCACCTCCTGAGTGCAAAGTGCTGGGGGGTACACAGCAGTGAACAAGACAAAAATCTCCGCCCCTATGGAGCTGATACTGGAGTGGGGGAAGCAGATGATAAACAGTAAAGTGAAGGAAAAAGCAGCAGAGTCAGAAGGATGGGTGGGGTGGGTAGGAGTGGGGATGAGCTGTATGTAACATGTCTGGGAAGACAGAAATCTGAAACCTGAAGGATAGGGCATCTGCTCTGTGGCTATCTGGCCTGCATAAAGGCAAGTGCAAAGGCCCTGAGGCAAGAGCAAGGCCCATGGCGTCAAGGAATATGAGGGTAATGGTGTAGCTGGAGCAGAAGGGGAGTAGGAAGAGGGCAGTGAGCAGATCGGGTCAGGAAACAAAATTCCTCAGAAGAAAAAACCAGGAGAACAAGTTGGCACTGAAGAGAACCTCCAAGAACCGGAGGTAGTGGGGGGCGGGGGAGCTGGGAATGTTCCGGGGAGGCGCAGTCAAGGGAGTGAGTGCCAGGACCTCGGGGCCGGACTGCCTGGGGTCGATTCTCAGCCTTGCTGTGTGGCTTTGTACCAAGCGCGCCATGCCTGTTTTCCATCTATAAAACGGGTAGCTGTGCGCAAAAAATGAGTCAGCGTCCGCTCCAGAGCAGTGCCTAGCACAAGGCCCCCTACCTCTCCCGGACCGTCTCCTCCGTGGCGCCCTCCCGCTCGGCCTCCCGGGCTGCGGCTTCGGCTAGGTCGCGGGCGGCGCGGGCCATATTGACCGCGGTGGGCCGTGCGGTGACCAGGAAGGTCAGTGCGTCGCGCACGAAGGCCACGAGCTCGGCAAGTCCCGGTCCCCCGGCGCCCGCCTGCAGCTCCACGGCGAGGCTGAGGCAGCCCACGAGTGCGATGGCCGGGGCGCCGCGCACCTGGAGGAGAGGGATCCCGGCGTCAGGAGCGCCGAGCTCCGGCACTCCACATCCCCAGGCACGCCGCTGCGCCCTACCTTCATGGCGCGGATGGCCTCCCAGGCCTGGCGCACAGAGCCCACCGCCTCGTAGTGGCTCTGCTGGGGCAGCAGCAGCTGGTCGAGGATCTGCAACGAGCCCCGCGAGTAGCGGATAGCCTCTAGTGGGGGCATAGTACAGCCAACCGGCTCCTGCTACTCTTGCGCGTAAAGGAAGCTGGGCTGAAACGCAAGAGCAGGCTTCCCCCGGAAGCAGGCGCGTGCGCATACCAAACTGGCAGTTTCCCGCTGTCCACGTGGCCCAGCCACCCCCATCCTCCGGTCAAGTTCGGCCAGTTAGCCGCCTCCTCGGAACCATGAAGGTGGCACCATTAACGAGGCACCTTCAGGATGCCAGGCCCTGTGTTTCGCGTCTGGCTGACCAGAGTTAGGGGGTCATAGTATGACCCCCAAATCCCAGGTGGGCACCTTTAGCCTGACTTCTCCAGCCAGAGCGAGTTGCTGGCCATCCTAATAGGGATTCCAAGAACGAACGAACGAACGAACGGGTTCTTACTTCTGCCTTGAGACCTTCCCATCCGCGCAGGGAGCAAGGGCTGGTGGGCTGGGGACAGCCTCTGTGGCCACCACATCCGGATTATTATTCAGCCACAACCTCAGCCCCAGGAGGGTTGGCTCTGTTTTGTTCACAGCTGTACCTCCAGTGGCTAGGATAGTGCACTGCAAGTGCAAATGATCTTCCCTTTACAAGGTTTAGGGGGAGGTAGCAGGCTGAGTCTCCTGGTGTACATGTGCAGCTGTTTTGGGCCATTTTCTGCTGTTTATCAGTTTCCTTCAAAAGAAGCAACTCACTAGGGCCTTTTTCGTGATCTTTCTTAGGGGACAATGAACAGTTCACACCTGCATGGGCACCCCACATGACCCCCAGTCCTGGTCTCCCTGCATGGTTTCTGCTGCCCTTCACGCTCAGTCTGTGCCACCTCCTCTGGGAAGTCTGCCCCGATTGCAGGCTGACCTGAGCCACTACCATGAAACCCTAACCACACTGGGTAAGGGCCATGGCTGTGGTCATAGTTGTAGCCCCAGCAACACCATTTGCTAGTGGCCTGTCAAGCTTGGTTGGGTGGCGGGGTAGGGGAGGGGGACAGCCCCTGGGCCCATCTAGTAACCCGAGGCAGGGGCAAAGAAACAGGGCTTTAATTTCGGGGGTCCTACAAGGCACACACATCGTCTCCAGGACCCAATAAATAACAACTCCATCACTGCGGAAAGGCGAGGTCTGGGGAGGGGGCGGTGTCTAAGCTTTCCAAGGGCTGGTGGGCGAGTCAGGCTACAGTCTGTGAGGGGCCCCCTGCACGTGCCTCGGCCTCTGGAGGGGGTCCAGTTGCCATGCTCACTCACTCGCTCTCTGAGTCTGAGTAGTCAGCCACGAGGGAGGACCTGAGGGTACATGGCTGTGGCATGTCTGGAGGGACAGGTGCCTCCTGAGAGGAGCCTGGTGGGGACTGGGGCCTGTCCTGAGAGCTCCCATCCTGTCCCTGAGGCCTGCTGGTCTTGGAGGTCTTGGCTATGTCCTGAGAGCAGTCTCGAGGGGATGTGGGCCTGTCCTGGGTGGTGCCCTCTGACACCCATGGGTCCCCAGACTTGGGGGTGTCGGCCAGATGCTGGGGGCTCTCTGAGACCTCCCGGGAAGGCCTTCGCACGATACCCAGGTTCCCCACGGTGATGGGGGAGCCGGGAGGCACAGATCTGCGGTTCTGGGCCAGCTTCTTCAGGACGCTGCTGGCTTTGCTGCTGCTGCTGCTGCTGGCACCAGGTCCCAAGGCTGAGGGGAACCAGGAACGGCTGATGATCTCTGTCCGCTTGAGTTTCTGCTTGTCCTCGTATGCTGGGGAGAGGCAGAGAAGGGGGATGGAGGTCCAGAGCCACCCCCTGCCTGGATCTGCCATGGTCCATTCACAGCTGGGACCCCCAACTACCCCCACCCTAAGCCTGTGCCCACCATCCCCACGCACAGTCCAGGGTGTGGAACGTGAGCAGGGCGGCCAGTTTGCGGTCGTCCTCTGTCTCGGGCACCAGTGGGATGGCCAAGCTCGCTTTAGCCTGCAGCGCCTGGTCTCTCTCCTCCTCCTCCTGCAGGGCTTTTTTCTTTTCCTGTTGAGGGAAGGGATGGTGGGTGTCAAAGCTCTGCCTCCTCCATGCCCACTGACCCCGGGGGCATCGCTCCAGATCTCCTGGTCTGCATTTCCTCCTTTCTAAGCTTGTGGGAGAAAAAGAGTCTCAAATAATAGCCAGGGCACAGAAGATGCTTAACAAATAAGAGGAGCAATCAATCGTCATTAATACGTCATTAATCATAATTAACACCACTGTTCAGTTCTTCATTCATTCATTCCACAATTATTTACAGCATGCCCATCTTGTCCTACGCCTTGTTCTAGACACTGGGAACACAGCAGAGAGCAGACAAAATCCCTTTCCCTCATGGAGGTCGTGACATTCTAGTGGGCGAGAAAGGTAACAGTAGTCAGGAGAAAAAGAATGCTGGGAAGCGGGCAGGGCGTGGGTAGGGCTCAACGTTAAATATGACCTGGGATGGAGAGGAGGGTCAGGGACTGTCTCTCTGAGACCATGTTTGAGAAAAGACATCTGAATGAGGGAGCCATGTGGGTATCTGGTAGAAAACTGTTCTAAGGTGGGAAAACAGCCTGTGCAAAAGCCATCCTAATAGGGATTCCAAGAACAAACGAGGCAGAAGCATGCTTGGAGTGGCTGAGGGACAGGGAGGCCAGTGTGGCTAGAGCACAGTGAGTGAGGGGAAAGAGGAGTTCATTCAAGCCCACAGAGTGACTATGGCTTCTACTTCATGTTAGTGGGAGCCACAGAGGGTTCTGAGCAGAGGGGCAAGGTGATCCGACTCAGGTGTTCAGATACCCCCTGGTGGCTGTGGCGGGTGGGAGGGTGAATGCATGGAAACCAGGCCAAGGGACTGTGCTGGTCCAGGCAGGAGATGATGAGGGCAGTGGAAGTAGCCAGATACTAGACATCATCTGAAGGTAGAGGCTGACAGCATTACTAAGAGGAGATGGGGAGGGGGAATCAGGGCCAATTTCAGGCTTTGGGGACTTGGTACATGGGAGGACAGGTGCCTTCTTTATCCAGAAGGGAGGATGTAGGCAGGGGAAGTTAGGGACTGATGTGGGTTCCTTGGGATGTTATGTTTGAGGGTCCTTAGACCTCCCATGTGGAGACACCCAGAAGGCAGGGGGCACATAGCTCAGGGCACAGGCCTGGCTGAAGAAATACACTTTCAGTACAAATAATTAGTAAGAAAACGAGTAATTTTACTGCTAATAATAATGACCATGGAATAATCAGAAAAGGAGACAGGAAGATATGGGAGCTATAGGGTAGCCCGTGGAGTCGCCCAAGATGCTCCTGCCTGGGCTATTTGCAGTGTCCAGGGGTACAGGCCACCCCACAATGCAAGAGAAGAGGGAGAAGATGCTCACAGCCCGCAGGACTTAACAGTGCCCTGCCAGACGTCTGTGAGGGTGATAAACCTGTCTATATTACACTCATTTGAACCCCAACTCTCTGTGACATAGCTTCACCAAGTATTTCTGGCACATCTTCAGTAGCCATTGTGGTCACTGACTGTAACACCCCCAGGGTGTCCTTGAATCAGGATCAAGACACACAGGGTGTGAGTTGGCATCTACACCTGCGCCCTCAGTGACTCTCCACGCGGGCACAAGCGTCTTGCACAAGGAAGCACAGACTGAAACATGTACTATTACATTTTTTTAATAAATGAATGATTTTCCCTTTTTTTCTATCACAGAGCACAGCAGGGATGATTTTAGAAATTATTTGGGGGCGGGTGGATAATATCTGGATTTCATTTTGGGATGGTCAAGGGGGCCCATGAAATGTGTGTGTGTTGGGAGCTGAGTAGTAGGTCGGTGTCCTGTGGGCCTCCACCCGAGGTCCACAGCAGGACCAGACCTCACTGTACCCCAGCTTGAGGTTCCCCACAGGAAGGGGCTACGTGCTTAGTAACAGCCGCTGGGCTAGGTGCCTCCCATGGGCACTGTAACATCCCCACAATGCAGATGGGGAGAGGCGCAGAGGGTGAAATAACATGCCTACAGCTAGGATGTGGTAGAGTAAGGGCTGGACCCTACAATGTTGGCGACACCAGGTGCCCCCTGACCGCCTGTGGTCCTGACCCCAGGCCAGAGCCCACTCACCCGGAACCTTTTCCGTAGCATGCTGTTGAGGGCGAAGTCATCCTTCCAGGCGCTCTGGGCCTCCTGGATGTGGCTCAGGGTGGGGAGGGCCTTCCTGAGCGTGCTCCGGTCGGCCTCTCCATGCTCCAGGCGGAACATGGCATCTGTCTCCAGCTTCTGCTTCTTCTCATGCTCTGCAAGGGTGAGAGTGTGGCTGGGCCTTCGAGGCCCTGGCTCAGCCTCAGAGTGGGGTCAGGGATGGCTTCACAGCTGCCCGCGGCGCTCACCTGTCGTCAGCACCTGCTCATTGTCTGCCATGTCCCAGCGCTCCTCCTTGCGCTGGGCGCCACTCACAATCACATAGTCACAGTTGGCAGGGTCTGTCTGCATCTCGATGTAGTTGACGCAGAGGTGGCATTTCATCCGGAACCTGGGTGGTGGGCAGAAATCAGACTCCCCCAGGCTACCTTGTGACCCCTGCCTGCTTCTTTCCACCTGTGTGTCATTCAACAAGTGTTCACTGAGCACCTACTACATGTCAGGCACCGTATCTAGGGTTATGGCCATGGGGAAGACAGATGTGATCCTGTCACTCCAGAACTGACCTTCTGTCTAGAGTTTGCTTGTTCATTCATTCATTCATTCACTCACTCACCAAAATCTCCTGAGCTAGGCTTCTCTGCAGCAGGCTTGGCACCAGCTGCCATGGATATGGCAGTGAATCCAGCCAACCTGCTCTTAGAAGAACTAACATTTTAGCAGGGGCCATGTGGGCAGCAAAGGCACAAGCAATCACAGTGTCTGGTGGTGCTCACCACTTTAGAAGAGGCCTGAGAAGCAGTGTTGGAGTAGAAATCTGAGGTGAGGGATGGAGCCTCGTAGATGTCTGGGGAAGACTAGTGTTCTAGGCAGAGGACAGAGGTTGGGAGCCTCTGTAGGGTGATGGACAGTAAGGAGGCCACGTGGCTGGGGTAGAGTGAGTGAGGGGGAGAATGGGAGGAGGTGAGGGCAGGCAGAGGGCAGAGCAGAGTGGGTGGGGCCTTGTGGGCCATGGGGAGGACTTAGGCTTTTCCTCTGAGGAAGGTGGGAGCCATGGAAGATCCTAGGCAGAGGAATGTGTCCTGATTGACAGACCAGGATGGTTTCCAGGACAAGCCTACGGGGAATAGCCATCAAGAAGAGGGTACAAGCTCTGCTCCCACTCAGATTCCTTTGTAGCCCATTCACCCTGTGGCCACCCATGTCCCTGAGACACCTGCCAGGCTGCTTCTACCTGTAGATCGGGGTCGTGTAGTAATTGCCAACCTTCTTCTTTTCTGCATTGTAACGAACACCTGGATGGAGAGGGAGAGAGTGGAGGCTTGAGCTCAGGCCACCCCGGTGTCTTTTCCCTGGATGGGAGGCAGACAGGGTGGTATTCTGCTCCCCTGCAAGGGAGGCACCGTAGGAGGGCACTGAAATTCAAGGGAGGGCAGAACCATGTTCAGGCTGTGTGACACGTGCTCCGGCCACAGAAGAGGGTGGGCGGAAGCTGGATAGCTTGGGTTCGAATCCTGACTCCATCATCAACCAGCTGTGAGCGCTCAGGCCAGCAGCCTCACCACTCTGGCCTCAGTTTCCCCATTTATGTAATAGGGATGATTATAACATCTACTACACAGGGCTGCTGTGAGAACTATAGGAGTTAAAAATACACATGATTGCTTAGAACAGGGCCTGGCTCAGCAAGCTCTCAAAAAGGGTTGGGTTTATTATTTTTCTAAGAGAATGTATAGGTTTTTTAAAAAATTATTTTGCTGGTTAGATGATACATATTCTTGACTCTGTCTGATGTTGCTCATCAGCGGAAAAAGAAGAAACTAGAAAAACAGCTTGGGCCAACAGGTGGTGTGGCCTGGCTCGGGTTTTCCTTCCCTGGGTGGCTGCTTCCATTCATGGGCCTGAGGGTGACCAACGTGTGGAGTCAGGCCAAGCCCCACTTTTTGTCCTCTGAGTGCCTAGTGGCCTCTAGGGCAGATGCCCTTGGCTGGGCCAATCAGGAGGACGTGATGGGGGCTCCCTCGTCGTCCTCAGCAGTGCGATGGCCTGGCCTCCACCTCTTGCATTTCCTCAGCCCCCATGAGAAGGACTGGACCCTCCGGCTGAGGCACCAGCTTCTGTTACAGAGTGAGCTGCCGCCCTGGCTCAAGCACTGCGTGAGGAGCTGAGGGGTACACTGTGAAAACCCCAGAGGAGGAAACGAAGTTGGGAGGGTTGAGTCACCAGCCTGAGGTCTCACCACTGCTGAGCATGGCCTTGGACCCATGCCTGCCTGTCTGTTTATCTGTGCACCTGTGGCATAGTCAGGAGTCTGAATGCTAACAGTAACTGCATAAAGACAGTGACAGCAGCAGATTGAGCCTTCCTATATGCCATGTACTGTATGCTAAACACTTTATATGTCACACAGGTGGACATTCAAACCATCTGAATTTTACAGATGGGTAAACTGAAGCACACAGAGGCTCAGCTGCTTGCCCTGGCTCTCCCAGCTAGGAAGCAAACCCAGAGCCCAGCCTCTTCACTGCTCTCTGCAAGGAAGCATCTGCAGCCCACCAGTCACTTGGGGCGCCATCTCCCCTTCCCCTGACTCCTGATTAGCAGGCCCTGGTGGAGACAACGCTGGCGGTTATGGGGTTTCAGTGTCTGCGAAACTGAATGGTGGGTGCGTGGGAACAGGGGTGGGCAGACGCTTACCCATGCCGATGTGGTTCTTGCAGCCATCACACCAGATGTTATATGGCATCTCAAATCTAAACAAACAGAAAACAGCTTATCTGCCCCTGTCCACTGGGCTCTTCCTTGGTCTCCATATCCCAAACTGCAGCCACAGCTGCACTGCAAAGGGTGCACACACGGGGAGGATAGAGAATGGTGGGCGAACTGTTCCCATGGCCGGCCCTGTCCCAGCCTGCTGCTCTCCAGCTGGCTGACCCAGTCTGGGGGGAGTCGCTGTGGGCGCTGCCATGTCTTCCATGTCTCACCACGGCAGCTAAACAGCCTGGAACAGAGGAGGAAGCAGGCCGTAGGGAGCACTGCTGTCTATTTGAATTAGTCAAGTGGCTGTATGTACCGTCACTGGATATTTTTTTACAGTTCTATATATAACATGTGATTCTGGTTTTCCTTGAATGGCAGTGATAGAGCTTCTCTTTTAACATAAAACCTTAAGTAAAAAATAATGAGGTGAATTAAAGACACTGCACAGAGTGGGTGAGAGCTTGGCTACCAGCGTGGACGGGGTGGCGCACACAGGTGGGCTTGGTCGGCTCTGGAGCGCGGACACACAGAGGGAGTCCTGAGGTGACCTTCAGCCCTGTGCCTCTCGAGGCCACAGCTGGGACTTGTTCTTGACTCCTTTTCTATAGAAGCTCCCACCTCTGATGATTATGTCACTGGAGCCTCTGCTTAGGTCCTGGGTGGACACTAGAGACTGAGGTATGAGTTTATGAGTTCACGAGGCAGAGAAAGAAAGAGTAAAGGGTTTGCCCTTCCCAGGGACACACGGATGGCTTCTGCTTCCTGCCACGGAGCACTGGCAAGAAACAAGAGAACCCCAAGGGAGGGGCCATCATCCTGGCTCAACTGCAGTAATGGCTGTGACTCTATCCTCCCCATATCTGTGCCCTCTGCAGTGAGACTCTGCAGCAGTTCCTGTCCCATGCCCCGCATCACAACTTGTTTTGAAAAATCAATGCGACAGAGTGGTGGTGCACCTCTGCTCTCTTTTGGAACCTGATGCTGTCATACGAACAAGCCCAGGCTGGCCGGCTGGAGGATGAGACTCATGGTGCAGAGCCCAGTCATGCCAGCCAAGGCCATGCTGGACCAGCCAGTCCCCAGTCAGCAGACTCCCAAACACGCGAGAGAGCCTGGCCCAGGTCAGCCAAGCCAGCCCGAGCCAGCAGACTTATGAGCAATAATACGTGCTTACCATTTTGTTGCGTGGCAACAGCTGACTGATACGGTGACTTTCTGCTTTACAGAGTTAGGACCCTATAGCACTGGGCATATCATTGCCTTGAATTCTCCTTGAGATCGAGGCCAGGTGACACAAGGGACAGGTATCCTTAGGCCTTACCTGATGATGAGGATGCCCTGGGACAGCTTCCGAGCCCGCTCCCGGAGTGGGTGGCTTTTGTGGTATCGGTTGAGAGAGCCATGCTGTGCAGAAAGGAGGGACAAGGTTAGCACTCCTGGCCAGGGCAAGCTCGTGCTCTCACATGGGCCGAGAGGTCTCTTTCTTATGACCTACCGGGGGTGTTCACAGCAAGATGGAAGGCACAGAGGCCCTGGTGAAGCCAGTGGGACGCAGGAATACATGAGTTCGAATCTTTTCTCTCCCACTTAGGGACTGAAAGTCACCTGGCCCTGGGTAGTGACCTCACCTTTTGCCTTTCTGAGACTGTTTACCCTGTCAACTAGACTGTAATTACCTCCAGGTGCTGTGGGGGAGAATTAGGTGAGATGACAATATTGGCAAATGTTTACTGGGTATTTTATGTATGTCATCTAATTTTAATCCCCTAACAATTCTGTGAGGACAGGTTGTTTTATTTCCTTTGACATATGGAGAAACTACGGCATAGAGAGGCTGAACCATGTGCCGGGGCCATGAAGCCAGGATGCACTGATTCATTCAGGCCTTACTGAGTGCCTACAGTGTGGTGACACAGCTGTGAACAAGGCAGATGACTGTCCTTGACCTAGTGGACTGAATGTTCTATAGGGGGATACGGACAATACCCAAGTATATGGACAATGCATCAAGGACTTACAAAGGCTATGAGGAGAAATAAAGTACTAGGTGATGAGATAGAGAACGAGACAGGGTTCAGGGAGGTCCTCTGTGAGAAGAGACCTAAAGGCAGGAAAAGAGCCTTGTGGTTAAAAAGAGTAAGAGGTTCCAGGCAGAGGGAACATCAGAGGGTACGAGGAGGCCGGAGGAGCCGGAGCCAGGAGAGCACGGGGATCTGACCTAGAGCAAGTGCTGGATCCCATCTTGAACTCTGCTGGAAACACATCAAGCTGGGCGCAGAGTACAAGGTCACTAACAAGAGCCACGGCTACCACTGGGAATAAAGACTGCCCTGAGACTCATGTGAAAAGTGCCAGGCAGAGAGACCTCAGGGTCGCCCATGCTTCTGCAGTGTGGCTCTGACCTGGACGAGGTGCCTATGGCCCCTGCCCTGTGGGGTCTCTTTGCCGTCATGGACACGGAGAAGGGAGCCTGCCCCTTACCTTTTCAGGGTTGAAATCCGGAGGGTAGTACTTGTTTACACCTTTCCTTTCACCCTGGAAAGCAGAAAAGAGACGTGACTTAGAGAGGGTCCCAAAGAAGACCTAGTTGCGCAACCTCAACGGGCGGGGACTTGGATGAGGAAGACTGAGGGACATCACAGAGGATGGCCCTGGGTTCCATGCCTAATCGGGAACTGGCGACCTGGGAGAAAACCCACTATCATTGTCGAGGAAAATTCCATGAGGGTTTGACTCTCTTAGAGCAATGGCTTTCAGTTTTTTTTTTTTTTTCTTCCAGTTTTTGTTTTGGACCATGATGTATAATAAGACATATTTAACATTGCAAATGGTGCAAATATACTCATAATACATCAAGGCACAGGTTCCATGAACGAACACTTACCCTGGCTGGGAGTCTCTTTTTAAATGTTGACAACCACTCGCTGAGTTGACTGAACGACCCACCAAAGCAGTGGGTCTCAAACTGGGCTGCACATTATAACCACCTGAGGAGTTTCTAAAATACTGAGAACTGGATCCACTCCCAGAAAACTCCTGACAGAGGACCTGCTCTGGGGAGTGGTGCCTGGACACTGGGCTTATAAAAAGTAACCTGGAAAACATGTGTTTAAACAAATCCTTGTATACACAAGTTCACAGCAATATTATTCACAAGTAAACACAAGTAAACATGTGTTTAAACAAATCCTTGTATACACAAGTTCACAGCAATATTATTCACAACAGCTAAAAGGTAAAAACAATGCAATGCCCATCAATGGATAAATGGGTAAACAAAATGTGGTCCATCCATCCAATGGAATATTATTCCGCCATAAAAAGGAACGAAGCTCTGACACATGCGAACACATGGATGAACCTTAAAGACGTTGTTAAGTGAAAGAAGCCACAAAAGGCCACATGGTGTCTGAGTCCATGCATATGAAATATCCAAAACAGGCAAATCCAGACAGGAAGCATATTGGTGGGTGCCAGGGGCTTGAGCAGGGGGATGGGGAGTGAGTGCTAATGGGGACAGAGTTTCCTTTTGGGGTGACAGAAATGTTTTGGAACTAGAAAGAGGCGATGGTTGCGAAACATTATGAATGTGCTAGATGCTACAGAATCATACATTTTAAAGTGGTTAATTTTATGTTATGTGAATTTCATCTCATTAAAAAAAATCAAAACAGAAAAAAGCTTCCTGGGTGATTTTAGTGTGTAGCTAAATTTGAGAACCACTGCACCAAAAGATCATATATCCAGACTTTGAAAACACTATCTTAGAGCTCGGAGGTTGGGAGGGGACTTTAGGGGATGAAGGGGCTACTGCGGGGGTTGATGAAGATCAGAAGAGAACCCCAAGGAACACAAGCCAGTCTACTCACCATCTTGGAAACTGCCTACTGGTCCTCACCCTCAATGCAGCCAATCTGAAAAGACGACAAAACAGTGTCACCGACTGTGCTGTGTTGACCCATTGCCCAGTCCCACCCTCCTGGGGAGCCTGGCGGAGGGTCCTCAGCTTCCCTGCAAAGATGCGACTCAGAGAGCCTTCTTCCGGGTGGAGGAGGCATCCAAAGGGCGGCATTTGTCTGTTCTGAGACAGTCCTTTCCACTCTCCATCCAACATATATTCATAGTTGACATTTCTCTCCCCTCTGCAGCCTCCACCACAGCTCACCTGGACAAGGGCAGTCACCCCTCTCTGGTCTCTGCCCTTGACTCCTACTGTCTGTTCTTCCTACAGGGGCCAGGAGGATCTCTTAACAAACAAATCTGAAACATTGCTCTCCTGCTTAAATCCCTCTGGTGATTCCCATTGCTTTGAGAATCATGTCAAATTTTTCCACGTGGCCTATGAGGCCCGGGCCTCCCTCTCACCCCTCTCCCTTGTGCTCACTCTGTTCCAGTCACAGTGGCTTCCTGGATGCCTTCAGAGGCTCAGCAGGTACAGGTCAACTGCCCTGAATGCTCCTCCACCATCTGCCTGGTCTTTGTCATAGGTCTTAGCTCAAAGATCACCTCTGTCAGAGGCCTTGTCCAACCACCTGATCTAAGTCACTTATCCCCTAGAGTTCCTATCACATCACTGTGTCTCGTTTACTTGTCTACACTGTCTCCTCCGCCCAGTCTCACCACGCGGTGTCTCTTGCACCTAGGACAATGCCTGGCCTTTGATAAATGCTGAGGGATGAACCACTAGTGACTGATTGAGGTTCTATAAGAATCAGTGCAGGTGACGCAGGTATCAAATGCAGGGACTCCTTAAAATGGGAGTGGAACATCCCCTGCCCCCTGCATGTTTGGAGGACTTTCAGGTCAAATTAAAGAAAGTTCTACTTTAAAGAGAGACACTATGAGTAAGTGAAAGGTATTCTAGAATGGGGATTGGCACATTTTCTGTTAAAGGACATAAAGTAAATAATCCTAGCTTTGTGGACCAGACTGTCTCTGAACAGCTCAACTCTGCCCATCATAGCTAGAAAGCAGCTATAGACAATATGTAAATGAATGGGTGTGGCTGTACTCCAATTAAACTTTGGAGACACTGAAATTTGCATTCCACATGATTGTCACCTGTCACAAAATAGTATTCTCCTTTTGATTTTCCTCCATTTAAGACATTAATACCACTTTTAGCTGGTGGTCTATAAAAGATCAGGAGGCAGGCTGGTTTTTGGCTTGTAGGTATAGTCTGCTGGCTTCCTGTGCAAGACAGGAAGCTTGATCAAATTGTTCGTGCCAATTTCATTGTGCGCTCACAGTTACTGTGGCAGGCACTGCACTGAGTCTGACATCATTGCCTCATTTATTCTGTATTATGCACTATGATCTCCAGTTGACATGGGGGCTTAAGTAACTTGCCCAAGATAAGAAGCTGATGGGGAGGCAGAGCTGGGGTGCAAAACCCCAGATGTAAACTGTTTCCATTGCCCATGGAATCTCTTTCCATCTTGGGCCCTCTATCTGTAAAGTGTGCCACAGGATCAGATTTTCCTAAAGTCCCTTCCAACCTAAAAATGCTTTTGCCAACAAAATAGCTAAGTATCCACCCAGGCTTTGGGGTCACAGACCCTTGAGCTTGAATCCCAGCTTTACTTCTCACTCACTAGGTGACCTTGACCAGTGTCTGAGCTTCTCGGAACTTATATTTCCTGACCTGTAAAGAATAGATGAGGGCAATAGGACTGACTTTCTGGGGTTGCTTTGGATGAAAATAACACAGCGGGAACTGCTTGCACACAAGTAAGTACTCCATTTACAGGTCCAGGGGCATCTTAACATGGTTTTACCACCCAGTGAATGGTATAGCTGAGGCTCTAGGGGGAATGTATAGACATTTCTTGTCCTTGGTGTCAAGAGTAATTATAGACTCCATTTGTCCAGGGCATACTCCTTGGTAGCGGCTTGACTTTGTGAGCAAGGTACTTACTCTCTCTGGGCCTCAGTTTGCTCATCTGTAAAATGGGGTTTACAAAAGTATCAACCTGATAGTGCTGCTGTCAAGACTCAGTAATTAAATAAGGATTTCAGAACAGCACTTGACATCGATTTAAACGTCAGTAGTTTTGATTATTTCTCATGTTCACCGTTTTACTAGCGTCATTTAAAAACAATCTTCACCACGGCCCTGAGAGGTAGGAGCTTACTGGTCCAATTTTTCAGATGAGGTAAATCGAAGGGCCCTTCAGGCATAATATGGGCCAGGGCTGAGTCTGGGGTCACGGCCGGAGCCGGGGATTTCGTTCGGCGGTCGTGACGGGATCTGGGCTGGCTCCGGATAGCAGGCTTGCTACTGCAGAACCCCGCGGCCCCCGGCACGCAGTCCCCATCTGGCGGCTCCGAGGTCCGGTGAGGCAGGGGCCTAACCCCCGGTCCTCCCCGGCTTGCCCGCCCCTCCATCAGCCACCACTTACCTGCCCTCCTCCTGACGTCACGCAGCGCCCGTGCCCGGAAGTGGTGCTGGGAACGCAAGGGGGCGTGGCGCACTCCCCGCGTGACGGGGACGCCTGCGTGAGGCGGGGCGAGGAGGTAGCGCCATACTGATAGGCTGAGTGTCGAATACGTCACATGCCGGAGTGGACCAATCCAGGCCCGCCTCTTCCAACAGGGCACACACCACGATGCCCCACCTCCTACCCCGCCCACTCTGCCTGACCCAATCCGAGGCCCGCATCCCTGACAGCGCCCTCCCAGGAGCTCAGTCTCGCCTGCCGAGACCGTGGAGAGTGTGGTTGGGCAAGGTACAACCTGTGCGGGCCAAACCTAACTAGCACCCTGCTTTTGAACGGCTAAGGAGCTAAAACTGTTTTTCCACTTGTAAATAGTTGGGGGAAAAAATCAAAAGAATAACATTTTATGATTTATAAAAATAAGTTCAAATTTTAGTGCCCATAAATAAAATTTTATTGTAATAGAACTAAGTCCGTTTATTTACTTTTTATCTATGGTCTCTTTCCCACTACAATGGCAGAATTGAATGGTTGCAACAGACAATGTATGGACTACAGAGCCTAAAATATTTTCTTTCTGTCCCTTTTACAGAAGAAGTGAGCAAGTCCCTGCCTTAAGAGTCTTCAGAGCAACCTGGTTGTGCTTTCTGTTCAGAGCAGTGGCTTTTGAATTTACTTTTATGCCTTGTATGGCTTAACAGAATCTGTATGTTCATTTGTTCATTCAACAACTGTTTATCAGGCGCCAGGCCTCTGGGGTTCCAGAGTAAAGGACATACCCTTTTTTCATTGATGAGGCAGACATATCAAGTGGCAATTTATCAAGGGCGGTGTGAGAAATGATGACAACCTCGTGCAATTATGATGTTGTGTACCGAATGCTCATTACTTACCAAGGATCATAGTGCTTACTACTAACATGTGTTATCTCAGGGAACGCTGCTCCCAAGAGATGGATATGCTATCATTCCCATTTTGTAGATGAGGAGACAAGCCCAGAGGAGTTAAATAACTGGTTCAAGGTCACACAGCTAGTGAGGGGTGGAGAATTTGACTTCCATCTGCTAATGCTAAAGCTGTTGCCTTAACTTCTGAGCTATACTGGTTGGGTTGTATGCATTAAATGTAAGGGCTATGGGAACTCAGAGGAATCTTTAATGAGGGCGAGGTGTTTGTGAGTAGGCAAGAATGAGGGTCAGTGAGATCCCTGTGAGGGGCGACCCTTGAGCTGGATGAGGAGGAGCAAAGCAGAGGAAGCGGGGAAAGGGCAGAGGCACACTCATGGATCCTGAGCAATGAGATGGAGCTGCTTTCAGCCCCAGTCATCTTGCTTGCAATAGCTGGATTTTGCTCAAGTCCTTGTCTTGCACCCATATAAATAGTGATTGAGAAGCCACAAAATGCCACCTGTGAGTAATATTTTGGGAAGGGGAGTGTAAGAAGCCTTGGCTTTCAAGGGATGTGTAGAACCTCGCTCTTTTTACTCATACACAGGGTAGGTGATGGCATCAAAACATCAGCCTGAGATATGAAGAGATCGTTTTATAATGATTCCAAATGCAGGCCAGTTCCTGTAGGGCTCAGAGAACTGACTTAGGGAGAGGAGAGAAATTAGCCAGACTGGATAGGGTGGCAGGAAGGGACCTGGATTCTAGCTCTGGGGACCCTCACCAAGTTATCTCACCTCTGTTTGCCCATTTGTAAAGGGGATATCTTTGTCTCTCTGCCCATGGGAATGAATGCAATAAATGCTTACAAATGTATTTGTAAAACATTTTGAATAAAAGCTGTGGGCTGGGAAGGGCATTTCAAGATCATGGTGTGGTTTTTGGGGACAAGAGAATAACAGGAGACAGGATTTAAGCATCAGGAAGTTCTTTACATAAAGCCGAAACCCACTTTCCTGACATTGGCACCCATTGACCCTATTGCTGCCTTTGAGGGCCACAGAGGGCTGACCTCAGAGGGCTGACCACTCTTCCACATGCCAGCCCTTCAGCTCCCCGCCCACCTCTGAGAGCCTGTGATTTAAGCCTAACTCCGGCTTCATCCTTCCAATCACCATCTAAAGCTCAGAAAGCAAGCCCAACAGGTTAGACATTTTATATTTGATCTGTGGCTATGGTCAAAACTGCTTGGGGAATCTGTCTAGCCCCTACCCATCCCCTTGTGTGAGAACATCCAACCTCTGAGAGGACGCAGCATTTGTACTTTGCCAGCTCATCCTCCACCACAGCTGATTGGGTAGATTTAACCCAAGCTAGGCTAATCGGGTTTGCTCCTGGGAAGTTAAACTTGGCATCCAAACATACAAGGGAATCTGCTGTGGCCTGACCTGAGAACACGGAACTTTGGACTTAGTGGAAAGCCATTTTTAGGCACTTGCAGAAAAAATCAGAGAAGCAACCATATCTTTATCTCTGGAGGCCTTCCAGTTGTTAGGTTCCTTGAGACATTCCTATAATAAACTCTTCTCTTTCTGCCATGTTAGTCTGAACAAGTTTCTCTTGCAATCAAAAGAAACTTGACTGTGAGTGGTACTATGTATGGTTATGAGAAACTGATTAAGTCAACAGTTATGTTGGATAAAAGATAATTTCAAGGCAATCCAAACTCATCTTCATCCTTTTGAGAGAGCAAAGGGCAAGGACAATGAGATGTTAGAGAAGAAATCCAATTGCTAATTTCTTTTTCCTGCCAGAGAAGATGGTTTATTTAGTAGACAGATTCTATAATGTCCCAAATCCCTGCCTCCTGATGTCCACACCCTGTGTGATCCTCTCCCCTGAGTGTGGGCCCAGTGATTCTATTCTAACAAGTAGAATATGGTCAAGTGATGGGATATACATGGTTATATGTACATAAATACATTACATAAGACTGTAGTGTCCACCTTGCTAGGGGACTCTCTCCCTTGCTGGCTTTGACGAAGCCAGCTGCCATGTTGTGAGCTGCCCTATGGAGAAAACCATAAAGGCAGCCCCCCAGCTAACAGCCAGTCTGACAGCCCGCAATAAAGAGGACTTCTGCTAATAACCACACAAGCTTGGAAGCATACCCTTCCCCAGTCGTGCCTCAGGTGAGACACAGCCCTGACCCACACCTTGATCACAGCCCTGCAGAGGACCTACTGAAGCTGTACCCAGACTCCTGATCTACAGAAACTGTGAGATAAACATATGTCGTTTTAAGCCACTAAGTTTGCTGTAATTTGTTATGTAGCAATAGATAACTTCTATGGTTTCTTTCTCAGGCTATAAATCAACATATAATGAAATGATATGTTTTCAGATCAACTGCAGGCCAAACATAAAACTCAGTTGCAGACCTATATTTACCTCTGTGAGTTCTAAACATGATCAGGTTTCTCGGATATACAACGAATTCTAGAAAATCCTCTTCCTGGTGAAAGCCCGAAGGCAGAGAGGACAGGCCCAGGGCACCAGAGCAATTCTCCGGGTCCTTCGTAGGCCACTTCTTCAGTGGCCAGGCACCGAGCACACGGCACACCCAGGGAGCCTTGGCGACTTCGCCATGACCCTGCAACTCCAGGGGAAGGAGGAGAGGACCTGCAAAGCGAGCAAGTTCAGTGCCATACCTCCACTCCTTAGTGGCTGCACCTGGCTTATTCTGCAGCTAGTCTTTTGGGGAAACAAAATCTTGGAAAAGGAACAGCTGTTTAGAAATATACATTTCATGTGCGGCAAGAGTAGAGTGGTTATGCTAAGGGGCTTTGAGTCCGCGCAGGGGAATGAGAGCTACTTATTTGGCCTATGTCTCTAAAGAGAAAGAAGACAAGGCTGGACTGAAGGAGAAAGGGTGCCTCCCTTCCCAGTCGTGGAAGGGGACCTTGAAGCCATGAGGCCCCAGGGTACTTTGTGGCTCTGTTAACAGGAAGAGAACACAGAAGAGAACAAGTCTTTACCTTGAAGAGCTCAATGCTATCTGTGGATTACCTCTGAACAACAATAATAATACACTTAACTCAGGCACTACTTTTATTGTACCAAGTTCTAAGGACTTTTAAAAGAGGGCCTGTGCCCTTACGCATTTAGCAAAGCTGGATTCCCGGGAGCGGTTGGCTCCTATTCTTGGCTCTTTGCTATCCCAGTTGACCTGGTGTGCAATAGGAAGAGTCTCATGATCTCTTGGAACCTACTGTTTTTGAAGTTTGGGAAGAAAGCAAAGAAACAGAGACTTAGAGACACCCCTGGCATTTCTGGTTTTCTAAAAGCTATTGAAGTATAATAACTCAAAGCATTTTTGCTTCTGGCTAGGGGGAGAAGGCCAGGAATGCGTGATGCTGCCAACAAAGACTGCATGAGGAAGGCATTTCCTGTTCTCTATTGCAGATCCTTTATTCACGACTAATGTCCAAAACACGTGAGTCTATTTCATGGCTCTCTGATGTCCCTCTAACAGCTGAATTGGAAGGACACAAAGACGAACGAGTGCAAGGTCCTGCAGTTAGTCACAGGCCAGTAGTCCAGAATTTGGGCTACGACATGCTTTTGTCTTAGCTTGAAGCCGAAAGAGTCTAACTCAGGTTTGGCAAGCTTTCTGTAAAGGGCCGGATAGTAAATATTTTACGCTGTGAGCCAGATGGCTTCATGGTAACTCCTCAGCTCTGACAATGAATAAGGGCAGCCATAGACATCATGTAAATGAAAGGCCATAGCTGTGTGCAAATAAAACTGTATTTCCAGTAAAATCAGGCAGTGGGCTGGGCAGTTTGCTGAGCTCTGGGCTAAGAGACTGAAAAGATTAAATCTTTGTCTTAGAGCAACTACAAGTCTGACTCCTTCCAATAAAAGCAGCTGCAAAGGCGCCATAGACAGGTTGCAGGGAGGTCCTGTGTTTGAAGCTTGGCCATTTGCTCACTGGTTGTTCAAAGTTCTTAACTTCACATTCAGAGGTTTGAATTCGGGCCTCGTCACTTCCTAGTTTT